AACAAAAAAGAAAACAAGAAAAACAAAAAAGAAAAAAAGAAAAATGAAAAACATTTGGATAGGAGCAAGTTTTCCTGGGAAAATACAAACGAAAAAAGAAAACAAGAAAAACGAAAAAAACCCCAAACATTTGGATAGGAGCAAGTTTCCCTGGGAAAATACAAAAGAAAGTCAGGGGGAGGCAGAGCAAGACACAGGAGTTTTAAAAGGCACGAATTCGTGATAAAACCTTTTAATAGTTTTGAAAGAAAAATGAAAAACATTTGGATAGGAGCAAGTTTTCCTGGGAAAATACAAAAGAAAGTCGGGGGGAGGCAGAGCAGGACACAGGAGTTTTAAAAGCCACAAATTCGTGATAAAACCTTTTAATAGTTTTGCTCGGAGAGTAGGGTCCGATATGGGAATCAGGGAAGGGAGGAGGCAGCAACCTATTAAAAAAAATTGCTCTTTTTTTTCCTCTCCCTTTCCTTTTTTTTTTCCTTTTCTTTTTTCTTTTTTTCTTTTTTTTTTTTTTTTTTTTTCCTTTTCTTTTTTTTTTTCTTTTTTTTCCCTTCTCTCCGCGGCTTCAAAGAAAAACGATTTGCTCATTTGGTAATAACTGATGGGGCCCGTGAATTACCCAGCCTAGCCCCCAGCCTGGTGTTTATCTCCTGGCCAATAAATCTCTAAACTGAAGCAATGAAGCTAAGTACTGCTGCTATTTCTGCCGGTTTATTTCCATATTAATCAAAAACCACAAACCCTCTTTTTCTTGGTACTGTTTCTTCTGTCTTCCATGAACACTATTTTAATTATGATTTTCTGCACTAAAAATGAGCGTGGCTTCTATTTCTGTACTTTCTCTTTTGAACTAAATTTTCTTCTGGTGAGCTAGAGCACTGTCCATACTTTATCTTGCCTCTACTGTACAGAACAAACGGACTTTCTGATGTGGGAGCACGTCATTTCATAAATGGAGGTAACTCATTTGAACTTGCTTTGGAATTACAGAAATCACTTTGTTCCTTTTCATGCAGGCTAAGGAAACCATAAACTGGATCTGAATTCCTTCAGGCTTTTCTCTGCTTAATTTAGTCATGTTTCCTATGCCTTTCCCTAGGCTGCTCATTATCTACAGCTCAGGTACAGGCACTTGTTCAACATCCTGAGTATCTGGAACCAAGAGAAACATAAGAAACCCTAAATTTCTTTCTTTGGTGACTCAAATCCATCCATATTTTAGGGTTTCCTGGAAGTTATTTTGCAGAGGCTGGCTTAATAATGCACATCATCAGCTCTTTCTAAACAGTTTTACATATTTCCAAACAGGCGTTTTTTCCACATATTAAGAATGGGCCCTGTCATGTAGTCATCCTTTGGATGATTACGACTTCAACCTAAATTTATTGGGACTTTTCAGTGTGACTCTAATACAGGATGAAAAGCACTCATGACATCTGGTACCTATTAATTTGGGAATTCACAATTTAAAACCTTCAGCGTTATGAGTGTCTTACTTATTTGCAAATACATTTCAAAGTGTGTTTACTTCTGTTTATAATGACATTATGCTGAGAATATTTCCCCCTCAAAGGAATTTATCATATTTTGTTTGCTATTACCAACATGTTTTTTGAGCTGTTAGTCTGAAACAAATATTTAGACAAGTGAAGGAAGTAGTATTATTATTTCTCCCATTGCACATTAGTAAAATGTAAAGTACTGTGCACCTAGATTGTTATCTGTTTCTGATGAAGCCTGTGATTATATTTTCTGGGTTTAGTTTGAAAGCTAAGACATCTGTTTATCTGGTGCATACAGAATAACTCTCATGTCTCTTCATCTCTAAAATTTTCAAAGGCTTTCATTCTGTTTTAAATCCTTTGAAGAAGCAGTAATCAAAGACAAAAATTATCAGAGGTACATTTTTGTTTTCCAAACAATGAAAATAACAACGCTCATCCTACTCCGATTTCAGGCACTTGCAATGAAACTTCAAACCTGGAGATTTGCCACACAAATCAAAAGTAATATGGGTAGCAGCAAACTCCAAAGTGCTGGCTGGATTACAGTTAATATGGGTACACCCCCCCAGACTTCAATTCATCATATAAATTTAAACCAGGCATTTAAATAATAAAGACCAATAAGGCAATGCAAAGACTTCAAAAAACATATCCCATCACAGCATGACAATGCATCAAAGTTTTTTTCTTCTCCTTCTTTTTTATTCAGATAAAGAAATCAGGGAGAATAATGGTGAAATGCCTTTGTAGCACAAAAGCATTCTGAAAACAGAACACTGAACAAACAATATTTTGCCATTCAGAACTGATTTTCAATTTCAAAACTTAGGTTGAAATAATACTTTGCAAGAAGAAATCAATATATTCTTGAAAAGAAATTGGCATTGCAGTTGAACTGTTTTAAGTAAGACTTTTTTTTTGGTGCTAAATCTATTCAAACTACAGCCTTGAAAGCAAAATTAGCTGAAAAGTTTGTTATGCATCTTTCATTCGTTTATTACTTCTACATACATCCCCAGTATGACCATGCCATTTGTGTATGTGGGCAGAAGAGTGAGAATATTTAGTCAAGCAAAAAAACAGTGGGAATGTGTGAAAAGTTTTTGTGAAAATTCTAATTCACTTGTGGCAGATTTGAATATCATGGGTAAAATCCCCCACAAACTTGAAGTTCAAATGTGATCATTAAAGATTTGTCTATTATGTTTTGTTTTATTAGAGATTTCCATGATGAGGATGATAGCTAAGAAAAATTCTGTAGTCAGTGACAGGATTCCTGCTACCCCGCTTTAGATCTCTGCACTGTAGTCACTTACTTAGCTAATCATCTTTTACAGTCAATGCAGAGAAATACGTGTTTCTGGTCTTCTGGAATAGTAGTTCACCTGACTTATTGTAGACTTCTGTTTTAAGATGAAATGAATGCCTAGGAAAAACTGTATAAGGAGCTTGGATGACTAGCTCACTGGTAGCTCACGCCTATATTATAGGTATCCGTATTTGTTCAAAAGGATTTCCTTCTAGATATGTGCTTCTGCTTTCAGTTTGTGATAAGTTGTTGGTGGTTTTATATATGAACTGTGATTGAGCGAAGGAAGGAAGGAAGGAAGGAAGGAAGGAAGGAAGGAAGGAAGGAAGGAAGGAAGGAAGGAAGGAAGGAAGGAATCTGCAGCCTCGTCTTGATCATCTTGCTGAAGTACTGGACGGATTTACTTTGTCGGGTGATTTTTATTTTATTTTATTTTACCTGATTCGTTAGTTCACTAAGTATTCGGGACAAATCTCCATTCTCCTCGTGATTTCCCAACGCTTGTGCAGGCGTGCTCCCCCCCACAGGATGCTGCAGTGTGCACAGCCCCCCCACCAGCACCCGGGGGGGTGGAAAAGTGCGAAAGTTGTGTCGCACCTCAGTTTAAACGCACACAAACACACACACACACGCACACACATCCCTTCCTCTGTCAATATTGTTTGCGACGCGGGGGGAATCGCCTTCCCCGTGTTTTTTCAGGTCCCCCCTGGATACCCCTCCGCGGAATGCGGGGTGGGGGCGCAGGACCCTCTCCCATGTGCGGAGCCGGAGGGTCCCGCACCCCTGGGTGTCCCGCACCTCTCAGCACCCCGCGGAGCACCGCGGAGCCGCCTTTCCCAGCCCAGTCCGGCTTGGCATTCCCCTCCCCGAAAAGGGATGACACCTGGATTTCCAGAAGAAAAAAAAAATAATAAAAATAAAAAGTTATTGACCTTTTTTTTTTTTTTTTTTTTTTTTTTTTTTTTTTATTTTTTAGCTACAAACGCACCTCTTCCTCCCCCCTTTACACACCGGGGGGGGGTGTTCGGGCAATCGCCGCGGGGTTTATTGAGCCACACAAGGAGATTTCTTCATCCTCCTCCCGCTGGGTCAAAAAAGTCGTGGCAAAAGCACAGGGCGATCAAATCCGGCGCCTTTTCCCAGCTTCCAGCCCCAGACAAAGGCGAATCAAGGCAGCTTGGAATTCCTTTTTAATTTTATTTGGAAATCTCATCCAGAAACACTGGTCAATAATAAATATATCGATAGTTATCAAGAATATATAAAAAATAAAGACACGGTGTTGTCTTTGAGGCCCTGACCAAAAAAAAAAAAAAAAAAAACAAAACAAAAAAACCAACAAAAAAAACAAATAAACGAACAAACGAAATTAATAATAATAACAGCATTTCAAGCAAACGCCCAGGAAAACGTACCGAAAAGGAAATAAAGAGCAACCAAGATTCTGATTTAGTTATACAAGTCACTGATCTGGCAAGAGCCGACCCCACATGCAAAACCAAACCAAACCAAACTAAAAAAATAAAAATAATAATAATAATTAAAAAAAAAAAAAGAAACAAGTCACTTTCACCATCAAAAAAAAAAAAGGAAAGCAGCGAACCAGAACAAACCCAAAGCCAACAAGAGAAATAAGCGACGAGGACCCCAGCCACACTTCACCGAGAGCAGGAGATGGGAGATTTGGCAAAACAGACCCGCCGGAGGGTTGTGCTGCGTTTTGCACCCTCTCCTATTTATTTTTTTTATTATTATTTTTATTTTTTTTTTTATTTTTTTCAAGCAGACACAGAAGGGAGAAAAAAAAAAAGAGCAA